AAACTGTTGAGAAGCCATGCTAGTTATGATCTCTCTCTAATAGTTTCAAGAGTGAGGCAGATGAGATGAATCTTTGAAATTTTAGTAAAATCTGAAATAAATCAGGATGAATGACTAACAGAACGTACATAGTGTGACAAGAAACATGAATCTTGGTAAGAAAAAATTATGCTTGAAAATAAGACTAAGCTATATTTCACGTATATTTAATCGTAAGAGTTGAAAATTTGATAATAAGAAAATGAGTAAAGGAAGAAATAAGACAAAATTAACTGTCAAATTTCCTATGCAGTCAAACTTTTATGCATCTTGAGTGTATTTTCATTCCAATTTGTTACCACATCATCAGTTAGTTGGAACAGTTTATTTACCACAGGTCAAAAGAAGGCGTGTTGATCGCAGCAAATATAGTTTTAAGGGAAGGAAATTTACAGAATGAAAAAATTTACATGCTATTACCAGCGATTATGACTGTAGAGATCAGATTGATGCGAGAAGAGGGAAGTGTAATTATTGTCATTCAAACGATTGAGAAAGAGGAGTGAACTTATAATTGTATATATTCTAAAGTAATGATAATGTTTATGTAGTGACTGAAATGCAGTAATAATGGTAGAGTAAGTAATAAAGAAGATGATAATTGTATTGTGATGACAGTAAGTGAAGGTAGCAATATTATCGATACAATATTGATTGTAATGAGCGTAACAACGGAAGGCTATGATTAAGACAGAAATTAAACTATCAGTAATAACCATTAAGCTAATGAAGTGGTTACTATAAATTTAGCATTACCTGTACAATTAACAGTGACAATGAGAATAATGACAAAAATTATGATGACTGCAAACATTGAGAAATAATGTGAATAGTAGTAATGGGAAGATGTTAAAATAAGGAAATTGTGTTGGTAAAAATAAGGGATAAGTGGAGCAGATATCTAGTGGTAGTGGGAAGAGGAGTTGAGAACTGATGTGAGTGAAAAAGTAATGAGAGATATTTGCTTTCAATTTGTTAATTAATTTATTGAAATTAATATTAATAGCGTTTAGTTTTTAGTTGGAAACAAATATCGTTGACATGATTAACGCTACGTTCATAATTTGATATTAACCAATATAGGCTCTTATTGCGTAAGGGTGGTAATCAGTCACACTCATCATTTACTGCTGTAAAGTTCATTTCAGTCAACTGATATGAATGCAGTATTGTTGCTTAATTACAGTATAATTGTGCAATAAAACGTGGAAGACCTGGATTCTGCTCGTGACATCTTAATAAAACTCAAAATATTTTCACTTAGCACTAACATTCTTCAAATGCCATACAATTAGTTGACACTTGATATGTGGAAAAAAAATAATTTTCCTACTCGTTAGCATCACATGCAGCTTGATAAGCAAGGCAAATTGTTAAAGCAAATTTGAGTTGTCGCTGTTTTTTAAAGAACATTTTTATCTCTTTAATTTTTTGTGATGAAATTTTTGTTTCGATTATTGGTGCTGAAAAATTTTTGAGAGCATCATTTCGAGCTTCTGAGAAACTTCACTATATCACACTGAAAGTCATTTTTAAAAGAAAGAAAAAAGTCTACCTGGACATCTGAACGTACTTAGGGACTAATTTATTTTCTTGTTGGGTGAGCATTTACAGTCATATTTTCGTGTCTTTTCCTCCTCAAAAAAGCAGTCGATCCCACATTTTTAATGAATGGAACACATGATGGATACAGATGTTGAGATATTACTTACTCATTTGTTATCAGATCTTTTAATTATTGAAGTTTAAGGATTTTTTCCATAATTTTTTAACTTTTCATACATCTCAGTTTTTCATTTCTTCAATGCACCAAGTATTATTCTTAGTCGGTAATATAAATATAAATGTATAGGCTTGTCATAATTTTAAGTTTTTAAAAGGTTGTGGAATAAAGCATTAAAAGAATTTGCAAAATCTTCATTTCTGGAAAAATCTTTGAATCATCATAAAGTTTGCAACTTTTAGCAGTTTCAGTGCAAAAATGGAGTAGTATGGAATGAAAATTGTTCTCAACAAAATAAAGCCGTGAAAGAGAAAAAAATTGTTTAATCGCAGTTTTTTTGAGATTTCTCTTCTTAAATGTCATTAAGTTTTTTAACTTGCGTCATGTAAGTAAGTAATTTTGGTGGTACGAAAAGAGATATAAGGAAACAAAGAAATCACGGACATAGGGAATAGTATGGGGAATTCATACAAGATTATGGATGAAAAATTTTTGCAAAAAAACAAATTTCTTTTATTAACGTATGCATAATTTTATTTTCCTTCTACAGTTTTTTATATTATTAATATATGACGGTATGATCTTATGTTTTGCTCCTAAATTTTATAAACAACTTTTCATCTTCCTTTTAACTTTGAAAATTTTCTTTATCCTCATTTTTTATTTTCTAAAAACCAAACAAGAAAAGAAAGATATGATGTTGGAAATGAAAAGAAATGATAAAAAATTTTTCAAATAGTATCAGAAAAAATTAGTACATGTCAACTTCTTTTATTGGTTTAATTTGTTTTTCCGTTTTTTACTTCATCATTTTGATTTTCGGAATTTTTGATTTCCTGAGATTAATGAAACTTTCAGGCTTTTCATTAGCGAAAGATTCTTTGAATGTGAAGAATTTGACAGAAATTCCAGAAATTGCTATTTTTGAGTAAATCTTCGAAGTTTAATCTTCTTGTTATTATTATAATTTTATGAGCTTCGATATGAGTCACAATCACAAAATGCATTAGAAAAGATCAATATTTTCTTTAGTTTTTACTTTATAATCTTGAGTCTCAAAGGGTTTATGCCCAAGATGGTGCATATAATATGCAAGTTTCTTCCATTACATAATAAATAGCATTGTCAATGAGAGATTAGTTTCTAATTCAAATTGCGCACTGGCAGCTCTAATGTTGAATTTCTGATTTACTGAGGCTCATGCCTTTCAACGTTTTGTTTTAGCCAAAAGACTACGACGCATGCTTATCAAGTTTGAAAAAGTCGGGTATTACATAGATTGAAAGATATCAGCTCTTATTGTTAATGTTCAAAACATGAAGATATTATCATTTTCATGAACATTACTAGTAATATTTTGCTTTGAAGTAATGGAGATATTTATTATTCCAAGTTAGAAACCATCTAAAATCAAAATATAGTTTTCCTCTTAAAATTCTCGTTGTTGGTTCATGATTTAAATCATTAACATAGTTATAACTTAACTGATAACATATGGTAATTTCAGAAGTTCTTCACTTTACAAATTGCATTAAAAAAGACGATTGAATTTTTTATTGACGTTGCTCAAGCAAAACTATCTAGTGATCACGCTTTTCTGCTAAAATGGTTGTATCTGTACTATTATTGTTTTCCAGTTTTTTGGTGTCAAGTTTAAGGTGCCGAAATTTGTAAAATTATTGTGTTTGGCCCAATTAATTAATTGTATTACCAAATGATTTTGTGCAAAAGTGTTGGAACTTTTGACTTTTATTCTCAAAAGTTAATGATTTTTCTTCAAAAATATTGCATAAAAATAATACGGTCAGAAGGAATAGTGTATTATATGGATGCATGGTAATCACTAAATTAATTTTTTGTGTTTTTTCAGTTATTTTGCTGGACACATTCAATTCTACTGCTGAACTGCATTGGCAAACGCATTCTAATGTGGAAGATGACGAAATTGGAGTGAGTTTTTTAATTTTATCAACTGTGATGTTAGTGATTAAAAGCTCATAGTGAATTTTAACAACTAGAAGTCTTTATATTTTACAGATTTCTTGAACTTTTTGTTGTTATCATCCTATTGACTTTTTGCTATTGAAACTTACAGTGTTAAAAATTGTAAAGAGAGTTTGTAGTTTATGTCAGATATTAAAAGTTATTTATGAGACGATCGGTCAAAACATCAGCTTTCACTTCTTTCAAGCAATCAGTAACATGAGCTTCGAACAGAAAACTGACCAAAAAATCATTAATCGAGCAGTTAACTTTCAAGTTAACAGCAAACATTGTGCGCCATCATTATCTCTCATCCTTCACTGTTTTGATCATATGCATTCATGCATTGATAAAAATAATCATAATACATCAGTACTGAAGCTAACGTCGGAAAACTGAACTGAATCCGAATTTCAAAGAAGGTTTGGAGATAAAAAAATTATTCTACTGCAATCTATAGAACTTGCTTTCAAGTATAAATGACAACTGTTCAAGTTTCTAAGGGAATTTTCTGAGCAATCTTTTCACGCAGTAAACGCTAATCGTATATGTAGATCTGTGAATATCATGACCATTGCTCACTTTTATTCAAAAAAAGGTCAGAAAACTGATGAAGGGTAGAAAATCTGGATGTCGTCATTTCGAGTTTTTTGATTGCTATACACACATATCGAACAGAATGGGAAAGCATGAAGTTTGCTGGGCTCATAATCAAGTTATAATTTGTGAAATTGAAATGATGTTATAATTATGAAGTTTTACAGAAATTAGTTTAAAATTTTTAGTAATTTGTTCATAAATAGCATTCTAGCTTTTGACTTTTTCATCTATGAAATTATTGAAATCACAAGTTAATTATGTGACAGTGATTTTAAATAATAATAAATGCAGAAACTTAAAATGGAAGTATATAATTTGTTATAGTATTTAGTTAATTACTATAACAAATTTGCGTAATTAGCCTTGGCATTATTTGCAGAATTCAGTATTTGCAGAATTCAGTCTGAATTTACAAATTTAAATTTGAATATAAATAAAGAAATTATGAGCTATTTTAATAAATGATAATTTCATCTTCAATACACTTTGCTTAAACTCTGCTTTGTTTCGTAACCTCGATAATAATAGAAATGAGATTTAATTTGAACTGTAACGATTTTACCTTCAAAAATTATCTTAACTTCTTTGAGTTCAAATCCAGATCTCTCGAAATAAAGTATAAAATCTGGAATAATGAGGCTATTTTCGGAGAAAAATGTTTTCACTGCTCTTCATAAAAGTATTTAGTTACAGTTAATGAGTGAGATTGAAAAATTCAGCATCACAATTGTTATTTGTTTGAAAATAAGTTATGAGCTAGAAAAAATATATACATCTAAGAAATTTCAACATTTATTCTTCCAATTGGTTATTGAGCTGATTTATCGGATTTAATCGTCATTTGGCTTCATTATTATTTCTGAAGCTAAAAGTTGACAACTTGCTTATATTGCGTCACAGCTATCGGTCTTTTGTTTTAATAGAATTATTTGACTTTTTATTGTATTCTTAAATCCACCACTAAATCCTTTTTTGTTTATTGGATGAATTTGAATTGTTGAGTTCCATGTATTCTTTTCAGCGTAGCTTCTTATTATTCTTTATCAAATTATAAAAAGGCAAAAAAAACAAAAATTGTATGGAACGAATTCGAGGTATTTTAGAATAAATAATTTTTGGTATAAAAAGTCTTTCATTGTTTTTTAGTGGCTTGAAGAAACATATCGTGGATCTGAAGGCCTCGATAATCGACGAGCATATGTAGTATGCAACGTTGATCAACCCAATGTTGATAACTGGCTGAGAACGCCAATAATTTACACTGAAGGAGCAAATCGGTTACATGTGGAAGTAAGCAAGCCCTTATTGAATATCTTGCATACTTGCTCCTTCTTGTAGGCATTTTTGTTGTTTAATACTTTGTTTTGGCGCATTTTAATGGCGATTCGTTTTCATTTAGTCTAACCGTGTAGGTTGGTTTATTTATGTCTCTCTTAGTATGATATTGTCCATGAAATTATTTGTTTTCACGACAAAAAGTAATGCAAAACAAAAGTATCAGTCATTCTAAAGATTAATGATTGCAGTTTGGTGATATCTAAGTCTCTCTCAAGCATTCTTTCCATTGAAATGCAGTTTTACGATCAAATTTTGACTGGCTTAAGCCAGTCAAAAATTTGAAAAATTTAAGTCGAAATTGTGAAAACGCTTTGACGAAAATTCAACTACTTAGTATCTTTTAGAGTCTGGCTCAGTGCTGCTGCAAATAAATTTGAGAACACATTGTAATTATAGGTGACCTTCACGATGCGTGATTGCAGCGAATTTCCGGGAAATGCTCGCTCTTGCAAAGAAACATTCCGGTTATATGCTGTTCAAGTAATGAAAAATGAGTATTATGAAGATGTTTGGGATGCTGATTACTGGTGAGGATTATTATTATCATTTGTTTTAAAACTCATTTTTGTTCACAAAAATTTTCGCTTCGACCATGTTGTCATAAATTTTTCGCTCATTTGCTGATGTGCTTTTCAATATTGATTCGTTTCCTCTCTCCTCACATCTTTTTAGGTTTTTCAATGTTATTATTTTCTTTCAATTAACTCATTTGCTAGGATAAATCACTTTTAATCGCATATTGTACCATGACTTGATAATTTTGTCTGAATCACAGCAAAATATGTCTACTATTAGTCAGTGTACTTGAAACTCATGATGTATGTACATGAGAAATATTAAATAACTCTTCATATAAAGAATGGAAAAAGCAATTTGTGAGTTTCTTTTTGCTACAATTGGCTTAATTAGTTTTTTGTCTGAATGCAAGCATTGCATTGTTCCACGAGATATAAGTTGTGGTGCTTTCTGATGAGTGGATAGTAGTAATAACCTTAACATTATTATAGACTGCTACGAGATTCTCATAACTTTGCTCACTTGCTTATGAATTCCAGGGATCTAGTGGATCGGATAGCGGCTGATACAGGTAGACATTCGAGACATGACCTAGCTACTGCTCAAGTAAATCAAGAAGTTCGTAGCTATACAGTTAGCAAAGATGCTGTTTATTTCGCATTTCGGGATTCAGGTGCTTGCATATCAATTCTTAAGATCAAGGTAAATCAGTATTCACTCTCTACTTCTGAAACTTTAAATTTTTCACCATCTTTGTTGTTAAATATAAGAATAAATGCGTAGACTCACATATTTTCGGTCGTAAATTCGTCATTTTTTTCAGAAATGCATTTAAAAGTTTAATTTTAAAACTTCTCTGAAAAAGATTTATTGAGAATAATGTGTATACAGCATAGTTATCCGTATTAGAACATTTTGCTTTTACTTCTCTTCAAGAGACTGTACTATTAAATGTTGCGGAAATTGCAGTGAGATAAACTTTAGCGTTTATTTGAACCCTTCACGGTGTAAACCACTTGTATTATTTTGCTGTGAGAAGGTGTTCATAATGAATGAGCTTAGCAAATATTGCGGCAATAAATAATCTTATTTAGAAGTTTAAGTGAGCTCATGAGTCTTTGTCATTGTAGAAATGAATCAGCTTATTAATATAGTCAAGTAAAAATAAAATGAAGACATGAGTATCGATTCTTAACGGCGAATAATATCTTATTTCAAAGTGCAATTTTGAGGGTACTCACCTTTTAGTCTCCCTGTAATGACCGATTCAAACCCATTAAAAATTTTTATGGGTAATTTCAGTTGTTTTATGATGATTCCACTTGTAAGGAGAACAGCAAGATCATGCCTTCATGCACTGGTTTTATTGCTGTACTCAAAATAATCTTTCCCATCTAATAATGATTATTGACAACGTCAGTGAGAAAACATTGAAATCAAATTATAAATCATTCAGAAATAGTTGACATTACCAATTCTGTTTTTCTAACGGATATTCATCATTATTATAATCATTTTTTGTTATCACACTGAAGTGGCTATTGATAACTGTATATTATGGTCTCCTATGAAATTCATTTTCGTATCCCTTCTCATTCATTGATTTCTTTTATTTGGTAATACTGAGCGAAACTGGAATTTTCTGTTTCAGACGAATTATAAATATGATTTCAAAGTCTAGAATCTTATCTGATTTTAGTCGTAATTCAAAAATTCGGTTTAAGATCGAAAAGGGACGTTGGAGGTTTCGCAATAGCTTTAAATGATAATGATCGCTTTCACGGACAAAAATTTAAAATTGCATAATTTTTAGACCTTTTTTCCTGTTGTTGGCGTGCTTTGAAATTTTGGTTAATTTGAATAATTTCTTTTTCATATTCCACTCCTGAACATCAAATTTACTCATGAGAGAGAATTTAGAAAGAAAACTATAAAAGGAAGCATTTCTTTTAATATGCCAGTATGTCTTATGCAGCTTACTGAGCGCTAAAAGAGGTCTTTACGACTTAGTATTTGCGTGTGGCAGGTTGGTAAGTGATTTTTGAGAGAAAAAAGATTTACAAATATTCATTTATCTTTCAATTTGGTAAGAATTAAATGAATCCATGAAGAATCGATTGATGCTGTTACTTTTCTTATTACTGTAATAATAATATTATTATTATTAAATTCATATGTAATAATAATAATAATAATAATATTATTATTATTATTACATATGAATTTGAATTATGCAAGTAATTTATTTGTTTTATTATGATGCATATTACCTTTCAGGAACTATTCTTGAACTTTTAAGTCATGCTGGGTATGGATTTTTCTTACCTCTAAATCTTGCAATCACCAAATTTACCATTGAATCATTTTAAAATTTGTAATTCTTCGTAACACTGGTAGGTAGTGGAGGAGTAATTGGGATCAGTTTTTAGATTTAATAAAGATATGGCGTAATGGCGATATACAATTTAAGATACAGTTATGCATAACTGTTATTTCAGTGAAACATGTTGGATAAATTTTGCCTGTATAAAAAGTTGCATCCATCACTTCGAGTCATAAAATTCTATTATTTTTGTTAGGTTTTCTTCTTGTCTGCAAATTTTAAACAATTGACTTCCAATAATGGATCTGTATTAAATATGCATCGAATTTGTTTGTTCATAACTTGAACTAACAGTTTCATGACTGGAATTCATTAAATTAATGTATATTTTATAGAACTTACTGGCAATTGCATGAATTAATCAGTATTAAAAACTTATTGGATCAGTTCTTGTAATTAATAGAACTAGTAGTTACATAAAACCATCATTTGCAAATTATATATAATTTATTATATAAACTCATTAGATAAGTGAAAATCATAGAGATTTCAGTCAAATAGACTTTAAAAAAATGAACAGTTTGAGTTGCACGGGTAGTTCATCTTAATTTTTAACATTTGATGCTTTCGATATTCATTTATAGATATTTTATGAAGTATGTCCTGAAGTAATTCATTCATATGTACAATACCCACAAACTGTTACTGGAGCTGAAGCGCATTCTATCATTGCCGTCAATGGTAAATGTGTGTCAAATGCTTCACCTATCGGTAAGTAGTTTTTTTATTCCTTGTTTCAATTTCTTTCACTTTCATGATCAACAATATTTTATTCTTGTTAAATTATTCATTATTCTTGTCTCTGCGTTAGCTTACATTATTGTGATTTATAAGGCATTTTTTTGTTTAGCAAGAATATAATAATTTCTATCAAAGCAATAAGAATGGCGGTGATATTGAAATCTACAGCAGTGTAGTATTACCATTTATGATTGTAATGAAATATATAAACAAAATTTTTTCGGAATTAAGTTTGGTTGTACGTTACTAATAATGTTAAAGTGGAATGGTGACATACTAATATTTTGCTTATGATAAGTTGGAGGTTTTGGAAGATCAAAGATTTAGGTGATAGCAACAGGCAACAAACATACGTTTGTAAAGCAACGGGAATTTGGGATATGGCAAATGGCGAATGTCAGTGTAACAAAGGTTACGCATCTTCACATAACACTTGTACCGGTGAACATTTTTATTTTACGTGCATATTCATATGGCAATTTTAACAGAATAAACCTTTTTTCCCCTTAAAATACAAAAAACCCTCTTTCAGCAAGAGAGCTTGTAAATATATCATAATTAAGTCTATAGCAGCACATAAATTATGGCTGCAAAACAAATAAACAAGGAAACTTGAATTTGACCGATTTTTTATTGAAATGGATAAAGCATGTTACTTAATCAAGCAGTTAGATGCCAGCTTCTTATTAAAGCAGGTTATTAGGGTTACCTGTCTGTTGCAGATGAATAATGTGCTTGTTTTTGTTTTTAATTTGAAATCCCTTTCATATTTTTTTATATAAAAATAGCACCCTAAAGGTCATAATGGCAATTAGCGATAATGTATAGTACAATGCAGAAAGAGTGCATTAAGAAATGACACAAATTACTTGTCACTAATAAGTTGTGCTTTGTTCAGGTACTAATGTACTTTTACCATTCACTTCATAAAGGTCAGGCAAGTGTATATTTGATATGTAAATAAAGGGTCTTTAAGAGTAGTTCATGTGGAGATGAAAGCACCACATGTGACACCTCGGAATTTCACTTGTATGAAATTTTCAATGCCAGTAACCTCAATACATTTGTAGGGGTTAGATTTAAGGGGTTAGATTCGCAGTTATACTTATTATGATTGCATCTTTTGAAGTAAAAAATGCTAAGCGTTTATTATTCATTATTCATTATTCACAATTTTTATTCTCAGGAAAATTTTTATTGGCAGTCAATATGGTTATTATCATAATAATAATGCTATTAACAATCATGCATGATAATGTGATGAGACAGGTATCTTTTTGATGCGCATACGAAAATTAAATTTGGGTAAAAGACATAAAAATAAATAAATAAGGTGAAAATTTTGCCAAATGAGGTTGAATGAATATAATGCAACCAAATAATAAAAATTGACATTGCAAATAAAAGTGGCAGTAAAAAAGTGTTGAATAAACTTAAATCCAGTATCTTCATTCATCATCATGCTTAATTTTATTTACTGGATCTAGAATTTTAAAGCTTCTTTAAACTTATTTCGACGATATCAGTTAAAATAAATTTTAGAAAACTTGCAAATCAGATATTTCATCCAATTTTCAATACATTTTATTAACAATCATTTTGTCTATTATTTTCATTATGTTGTTACTATCGGTAGCATTTTTAGGAAGCAAGAAATTAAACGTAGCTGCGAAAGTAATCTCATTTATGCTTCTAATATAATTCATACACTTTCATCAGAATTAATAGTTCATTCAAATGCGAAGTGTCTACAAAAACATGTAATTTTTATATTATGATAATAGTCAAAAATATTATGCTCATAATTTTACTGAAATCAGCTTGTTCTGACTTATTAAAGAAAACTTAGAATTCCTTCATTTCTTAAGATCTGATAAATGCAAATGATTTTCTGCCTTTACTATCTCACAGTAAACATCAAATAACTTACAAGTTTTCAACAGTAATTTTGTAATGCAGTAATGTATTGAGTCTTACTGATCTGATGTCTCTTGAAATATGAAATGCTCCATTTTCATAATAATTACAGTTTTGCTTTCGAACTTTTTACGATTATTCACCTGCAATTGGACTCCTTGGTACATCCTAAAATATTTAGCTAATCCAACTGTGACTAACAATTCTTTTTGCTATTCAAACCTCAATCTAATTAACATCGCAGTATTAGTCAGAAATGGTGGGAACTATATTTAACTTTTGAAAATGAGATATCAACTACCAAGTCAGTGATTAAGACTAAAAAATTGGCTTAACTTACTTTTTAAACTACAATAATCCAATTGTTTTATTTCATCAGACGAAATCGTTTCTTTGTACTCAATAATAATGAATTACTTTTGAAAATATTGCAGCATTTTCAGGATTAATTTGATTTAGAATAATTATTTCAACTGCAATTTATCTTTCATTTATGAAGTTATTCACATGACATGTTATATACTGCATCTATGAATCTATAATGCAGCAGGAAGTGTGAATGTTTAATTTGTAATATTTTTTAATGTTTTTCCCGAAACCATGTTGCAAATATATTTTGCACTGAAGAAAAATAGCTTCTCATAATGCAACTAATCGTAATTGCTGTTGCATTGGATAGTTTAAATTCTCTTCTGATTTCAGAAAATTAATTTCCTAAATATACACTTCATATATTACTTTTAATTTAAAATACGAGGCCATGAGAAAATGGTTTTGTTTGCAAATCAGTCAGGTCTGATTATATTACAATCATGCAAAGTTATGAGCGAAAATTGCACATTATTGATCATTAATACAAAAAATGAGTAAGACATATTTCTGCTTATCAAAAGATTTTCAACAAAAATTTCGAAAATAAGATATAATTCATGTACACAAAAGTTCCTTCAATCCATTGCTGACTGTCAAGCAGTTATTGTGCTATCAGAGGAGAGACAATAACATCTTTTCTAGAAACTAGCCTGGCAGAGAAACAAATTACCACTACTGTGAGGCGGCTAAAACATCAGTTTTCAAAAAACTAAGAAGCATAATCGTTTCTACGTTTAAAGGACGTCCTATTTTTCTATAAACGTTTTCAAGTATCTTCTTTATTTTGGCATCACAAATTTGTGTTGCAGTGTACCAAGCAGAAATAGTTTCATTTCTCAGATTTTCAGTATGAATGCAATTTTAGATGAAGCTCAATTTCATTGACTTTAACATTAACTTTTAGTAGAGTAAAATGATAAATCTCAGAAGTCGATGACCTAGTTGACAATTCAAAATTGCTTATTAACACGAACCAGAAAGTACTTGAAAATCATTATAACTTATCACTAGTTATCTATATGAAAAGGAAAATGAGGCTTTGTGTATTATTTTAAGATAATATAAGTGAAAATACACTTTGTAGCAAAACTTTCCACGGTTTATTTATTTATTATTGTTATTTATTCCATCACAGCAGTATATTTAATAACTTATAAATCACATATGTAAGTTGAAGCCTAAGCCGTGTAGTTTATAAAGTGAAATTTATTTTTGTACGCAAAATCCTAATCATTTAATAACTTTTAAAGCAGCGGTTACTTTTCTGTTTCCAATCCTAATATAAATATTCGCCTCAATAATACTACTGCTTTTTAATATTATTATTTATCTATTAGTATTAATTAATAAGTATTAGTTAATTATTTACTGTCATTAGTTATTTATTGTTATCATTTATTAACTGTTTATCGTTAATAATAATAATAATTAATATCACAATTAATCAGTAACTATTTATGATTGTTGTTCCTTTTGTTAATAGTACCATAACCACGATTGAGAATTATGGTGATACATAAAACCATATCAGTTTCCGAAAATAGGATGTTGTTGATAATGATAAGTCTGTTACCTGAAATTAGTTTGAGCATTTTTTTGGCCGCTCAATTTTAAAGCTGTACATTAATTTTCTAATGATCAGTAACTGAAGTATTTCAGCTTGTTCTGTTCAGTCATACAAATCAAATGACGGTTATGGCGATTGCGATTCGTGTCCTAGTCATAGTAGTACCAAAACTACAGGTAGCTCCGAATGCCAATGTGACGCAGGATACTACCGAGCGGAAGATGAGGGACCTGAAGTTTCTTGTACACGTAAATTTTTCCTCTTGTATTATTACTGTATTAAACTGCCTCCTATTAAATTGCTTCTGCTTATAAATCGTACATACTAATAATTTGTAAAGACTGATATAATTAAATATCATTTATTCTTACTACTAATTATTAGATAGACAGATTACTATTATAATTATAATGTTTATTTATACTAATTAACAATATCATTAGTTACTTATTGTTATCATTTATTACTGTTTATCATTAGTAAGAATAGAAATTATTATTTTTATACTAATTGATATTATAATTATAATAGTAAACTTTAGTACTATAATAGAGGTCATTCTTTCTTTGATCATTTTTCATTGAAATACTAACTCATTATGTTCAGTTTCAGAATTTAAGATTCTTAGACTTAAGCTCATAAGTAAACTTAGATTTTAAGAGCCACCATCAAAACCATCTCATGTGATTGTCGTTCGATTGGATGAAACATCTGCAACGATCGAATGGGACGAACCGTTAAAGCTTGGTGGACGAAAGGTACATTATAATATGAAATCTTAGATTTTCCATTACTTTTTGTCGTTGAAATTATGCAATTAAACCAATAGAATATTTGATCAAAAACTGGGATGGAAGTTAGGAATATTTGATCAAAAACTGGGAAGGAAGTTAACTAGTCATGCTTTTCATGACTGGAACTTTTCTACTAGTGAAATTTTAAAAAAAATGAACAAAAAACTTACAAAAAAAGAACCCTGGGAAAAATAAGATTCATGAACTAGAAAAACTCCAAACTTCGTTGTAAAAGCGTGGTCAAGTTCTTGTACTTCTTAATGTTAAATTATTATTCTATTTTCAAACAGTTTTTGGAAAATTTTTGACTCTTTGAAAAGCCTTAACTGTAGATTCCATCAGTTTTTTGTTAGCTATATTCACCGCAATACATATGCTAAATTTGCATCGATTCATAAAAAATTAAAAGGTTTACAGGAATTATGGTATCGTTACTATTGTTCCAAATGTCCATCACCAGCTTCTTCAAGCCCTACTGAAAGCACCTTCACTACAAGACGCTTGAATCTAGCTGGTTTGACACCTGCATCCACTTATACAGTGCTGATTTTTGCGGAAAATAAAGTTTCTAAAATGGAATCTGCTCTCAGCCGATATGCCTTAGTGGAATTTACTACGCGGTAGAATACTTAAAGAATGAAAATAAATTATTTGCATTCATGATAATTTTTACTTACTACATTGTAGGTAATTTATTACGTAAGAAGACCTAATTGGTAATTATATCATTTTATGATAGAGTCTAAGTATCAATTTAATCGCTCGTCTAGTTGCAAATATCAGTTGATTAGCGCATGCCAGCTGTTTTTACCTATGTAATAATTTCATTATAAATATTGCAGACCAGTGGTGCCTCTTGGAATAACTGGCCTTAGAATTGAGGGTGTTTTGGAAAATGGTGTCACAATTGCATGGAAACCTTCAAGTATAATAGAAGAGGAGTTATTTTATGAGGTTTAAACGCAAATAAATGAATTTAAAAAGATATTGTGATGGAAAAATTGGATGTTTTCATAATTTCTAGTCGTTATAAGAAACAAGTAATGCTAGCTTAACTAACTTGCTGAAGCAATGAGTAATTCTTTGCTTTTTACATTTCAGATTGAGTCATTATACAATGATACGTCGACAGTTGTGAAGACCGTAGATACATATTATACTTTCGAAAGTTTGAAACCACAGTTTATTTATTCATTTCGAGTATTTGTTAAAGTATTTTTGACATATGAAATGATTTTAGACAACTTTTATTGTTTATGAAATCACATTTTGAGAAACTATTTTATTTTGATATATTTCTTGACTCAGTTTAAATTCATTGCTTAAGGTGCGCATGGTAAATGCATACGGGTATGGTCCATGGAGTAAACCTTTAAGGTATCAGGCAGGCCGTGGCTTATCTCTGGGCCCAATGTCTGATGATGCTTTCACTTATAACAACATTATGTATGTTATCATATTAGTGATTTTCCATCCTACATTGTAAATATTTAATGAATTTCTTGTAATAATTGGCATTTTATGCGCCACTTTCTGATCACAGTGATACTGCAATGAATTAGGAGAGTCTATTTTTGTTTTTTATGAAAAGTCTGTTTCTTTTCTAACTTTCTGCATTCATTTTCCTCTCTATTTGTTCTCTAGTAATTCAGTACAACGTTTATATATCTTTCAAGTGATTTGCATTGGTCATCTCCTGGACCACCGCTCTGGATTTGGATATTACTAATCTGTGTGTCTCTTATAATTCTACTTTTTACCTTAATTCTTTGCTCACGTCAGAGTCGAAATCGAAAAAGGCTGGGAGATTGCGATGGCATGGATTCCTACAGAAACGGTTTGTACAGCTTTTAACAGTGATTAAATTATTTCAATTATAAAGTGATATTAAATTTGCTATTGAAGTATGAACTGGGCCAAAATTAAAACTCAGTAACTTCATATATGTATTATGAAGGGTCAAATAGTACTGCATATATAAAACGATGACTTCGGCATTGTACGTCATTTGAGAGGATTGGAAAATTATGTGAAAATCTGCAATGAACGAGCAGAAGTTTTTTTCTTCACTGCATTCTTCGATTCTATAAATTCAAAAACTGTTAGTTACTCGTCAGTGAAGTTAGAATAAAAAGTAGCTAATTTACTGTATTATCCATAACGAATGATGAATTAATGATGTTGTTTACAATGAAGTTGTAAGTTATCATAAAATTGTAATGATACACTAAATGCTAATTTTTGTTGACCTTGATCTTATTTTATGGTAGCGAAAATTCTGGATATATTATTTTTATTCAAGTATGAACTAATTTTGTTTACAATCAAATTTTGATTACTGATTTTGCTTTCGGTTTCAATTCCGCTATTTATATTCCTATGGTAGGCATCTTACAGACGTAATTTTAATGTTTGAAAGGATTTTCCCTCCAGAACGCTTTTGTTCATTCTTCATCCATAGTGGTAGAAGCTGATGAAACTGGTTCATACTTTTGTTTGAAACCGTGAAAATTTAACGGCTGAACTTATATTTTGATTTTAACTTTTGATCTTAACTTTTTGCTGTTGATGGTTGAAAAACCGGAACGTTACTAGTCTTAATCAGGTTTTCTTTTTTTAGTAAGATGTTAACAAAGCTTATTAACAAGTTACCTGTTATTCAGTTTATATAATAAGTCCGTAATGCTAAGTAGTATGATCAGCTTAGTTATGGACGCATATTTTTTATGCTCCCATAACTAGACTAAAGTTTGTTGAAAAATTAACAATGTAACATGATCAAGTAATTTGATTAACTAATTACAATGTAACATGATTAAGTAATTTGATGGGAATGATTATTATGACTTCCAGGTGCACTAACGCCAGATTTTAACGCATCACCTCCTCAAAGTGTTGTGAAAAATTTATTTCATGGAAAATGTTAGTTTTAATTTTCCCTCTAACTTTTATTTTGTTCACTGTCTGATAATAATCATGGATAAACTGGGGTTATGATAAATATAATTGTAAACGAAGATCATACAAGCTTATAACTTATTTTAGTCGGTCTACCGCTGATTAATTATGGTTTATCGCATTCTACTAATTATGGTGAAAGTAACTGTTTCAAGCCGTATGTTGATCCTACTGCATATGAAGATCCAAATCAGGCAAGCTTTAAACTTTTTCGTGATATTTTTTGAACACAATTGCCTAGTAAATTTATATGAAGAGAATTATTAGCATATCAAAACTTGGTCCATTACTTTTACCAAATCCTCCTTGATATTTTTTCGAATTTTGATATTTTGATTCTTAATTGTACTAAAAAATAGAACCCATGAAAAGAGTGAATTAGTATCAGATTTGCAATGAGATTTAGTGCTATAAACAACAAGAAAGTGAGATTACGAAAATATACGAAAATACAAGAACCAGAAAATTTATAAAGTCTAAATTGATAATTAACGCATTAAAATCAAAACTTCAATATCCCTAATTAGTTAGGCTATAAAACAAACTGAATGCACTATTAGGGAAATATTTAAAGCCAAGATTTAAAAAAATATTATTTTAGGCTTTGTCAGAGTTCACGAACGATGTTGATCCAAGTTCAATACGGATAACTGAAGTAATCGGAAGTGGGGAATTTGGTGAAGTTTGTAAAGGTGTGCTGCAACCGTCAGCTTACAAGATCGCATCTGCAGATATCAGTCAGGTTATTTTCATTTAACCTGCATGGGTAAAATATTATTCGTTTAATTATGTACGACAAACTTATGTTTTTTATGAAAAGCAAGTTAGTCGGGTATTTAAAATTGAATGTATGCAAGCTCATCTAAGAAAGTCCTAATTGAATTTGATGATGTCACTTTGTGGTTATTCTTTACAGGATTTGTTAAGTAGATACTTAAAATTAGCTGTTCTACAGGTTCAGACTGTTGCTATAAAAACGCTAAAGCCAGGTAGTAGTGAAAAAGCTAAAAGTGATTTTTTAATGGAGGCATCAATTATGGGTCAGTTTGCTCATGAAAATGTCATTCAACTTATTGGGGTTGTAACGAAAAATGAACCGGTAAGAATGCTTGTTTTTTTAGTGGAACTTTTAACAAATTGTGAAAGAAAATAAAATTTTTCGGCCATGTCGTTAAAGACACGATTTATTAGCTTGCAGGTTATGATAGTAATTGAATATATGGAAAATGGATCATTAGATCAATTTCTCCGAAAAAATGATAACGGTGTTCTTGAACTAGTTCAAATTCTCGATATGTTGCGAGGAATAGCAGCTGGAATGAAATATCTTACTGAAAAAGGTTTTGTACATAGAGTAAGTCTAATCTGAATTCTGTTTTGGAAGTTATCAATGAAAAAAAGGAATAAATTAATGTCAATGAAATTCGATAGAAAATTTTGCCTCAGTTATCTGTGGTGAACAGTTTTGTTTGTAAAATGATAATTTTAGGATTTAGCAGCTCGAAATGTTTTGGTAGATTTAAATTATCAATGTAAAATTGCTGATTTCGGATTAAGCCGAGGTTTGGAAGGAACCACTGAACAGGAATATACTACTAATGGTGGTAAAATTCCCGTCCGTTGGACAGCACCTGAAGCTATAACACATCGAAAGTTTACTGCAGCATCAGATGTTTGGAGTTTTGGTGTCGTCATTTGGGAGGTTGGAAACAAGTTTTCGTTGTTATGTTGCAATAACATTGATTGATCTTTCTAAAATTAGCATACTAAAATTAAATGAGGCAAAAATTTTTAACAGAATGAAAAATTGAAAGTTACAGTGGCCTTTTTATTCTACTTGTTAATTTATACAATTATGAATCCGTCGATATTAGTCAAGATTGATGTGAAAACGAAGAGCTGCTTTAATTTTAATTCAGACAATTTACTACATTGTCAACAACTCTTTTGTTGTATTCATCAAAAGCTGTTGGCGAACAATTCATCGTTTTCAGATGTGTTCTTTTGGTGAACGACCATATTGGGATTGGACAAATCAAAAAGTAATCAGCGAAATCACTCTCGGCTATCGTTTGCCAGCTCCCATGGATACACCAGTTTCTTTGCATAACCTTATGCTAGACTGTTGGCACATTGATCGTCATAAAAGACCAACGTTCCCAGAAATTCTTAAAGTTCTGGAGAAATATGTTCGTCAACCAGCGTTAGTGTATAGCGAAGGCATTTGCTGCTTGGATGATGTTGTAAATATCTCGAAAAAGTAATTTTTATCACCTCTCTGAAGAAAAGTAGCCATGAAATTTTTATTATTCGTGGTCAATCTGCCAATTTGCGAAACTTCACTTAATTGTACAGGATACGGTTTTTTTTGTCCTAATTTCAGGAGAGCTTTTTTTTCCATTTTTGTATGTCTGCAGACGAGCAAAACAACTTTTGTGTATACCGAACTTTAATTGCAGCTTTTCGTTCTCTAAACTTGGTACGTCTCCTCGTTCAGCTGATGACGATACACCTGTATTACCTGCAAACTTACCAACCCATCTTCCTCTTGATGAATTCCTGAAGCACATTGGCTTAGGACACTGTTTGCTAAAGCTTAATGTGGCTGGTGTGAACAGAGTATCTGATTTGTTACGTCTTGGACATATTGATTTACTGAGCTGTGGTTTAATCACGGAGGAAGTTCAAATGATCAGAGATGCACTCAGGAGGTAAAATTGAACTTAACTAAGCCAATACGTAAAGAATTCTGACGCTTATGTTTCTTGCAAAATTTTGAAAAAATTTAAACGTTGATTACAGATTTTTAATTGTAGCATTTTGATTGGAGCATTTAAGTATTTATCCAAGCAGTACTTCTGCTAAATAAATGGATTCATTTTCATACTGAAGCCTTCTAGTAAAGCACTATAAAGCAATGAAAAAAACTTGGGTTACTGTAAGCTGACTGAAATGCTGTGGTGCGAGATATAAAATCAGTTCATTGTATGTTTAGTAGTTTATTTTCAATTGCCTGAAAGTTGATCTGGTACTGTTTTTAAAACCAAAAACAAGTGAAGTTTAATTTAGACTGAATATCACATTGCAACGTACTCGGAGTCGACTGGAACATTATCATTCTCCTATGTGCCACTATTCACAGCAATCGCAAGCTGCTTTGCTGTCGTCACCGCGATTCGGAACAGTGCCAAGAACTCTGTCTTCTGTGCCAGCATCTAGCAGTGATAGCTTTTTCGTGTAATTCATTAATATGCCATTAACTTCTTGTAGAAATGTTCAAAAATACCTTTCTATTATGCATTAGTGTGATGCAAGTTTAAACTGGTAATAGCATACTCATTGAAGACTGACTTAACCAACGTGTTTTTATACTTTTAGACGGGACGGGTGCTTTCTAATTACTCAAATTTTGGATATCAGTGCATCATCTAATCATCCTACATTTCGGAAGTTTGTTACTAAATTTTTTTAGTAATTAGATTAAATCATTTTGATGTCATGACTTATATATGCAATTCCGGTGCAACTATATTAATTAATTTCGCCTTATCTATGGCCTCTGTATTTAACGAACTTCCGTATGGGTAGGATAAAAGTTTATTTTTTAAAATAAGGAACATTTCAACTTTGATATGACAATTCTTCCATCCTTATTTTCAGTACATATTGAACGAAATAGTAAAATCTCGCCAGAAACAAGTATTCTTTTTGACCAAAAGAGTGACTCTGAACGAAAATAATGTGAATTACTGGCGTATCAATTTGCATAGAAATTTCATATTTATTTTAATCTCAAAAGGTTGAGAAGTGATTTTGACAACCTGATATAAAACTAAGAGAGCAACTTCAATCCCATTCATTAGCAGAGGTAAGAGCAGGGATAGTTACGGCATTTTCTGAACATTTAGTTGGCATTGTTTCGTATCTCGAAAGTAATATTTCCCTTATTTTTGCGAAAGCTGGATTTCAGATGATATTCTGACGGGAAAATTAGATTCGAATTTGAAGTGACATATTCCAACTCACCATTAAAGCACTCCAAAAATTTCATCTTTTTGGCATTGTTTTTTTGCAGCAATTTTTGTGCCTTTTAATATGAATAAAAACGCATCTTGTGCTTGCAGTCCTCTAGCATGATCAATTAGGCAAAGATGTCAGATTCTTTTCGGGACGGTACTGCACTCATTTTTTTTTTGAAAAGAATCTTCCTGTTAAAGTTATAGATGGTGTTTTGAATTACACAAAATATTTAAACAAATTGGTCAAGTCCTTATTGTCTAGAGTATGGCGAGTTAAAATAGTGCAGTGATGTAAACTGGCTCCAGGTTTGGGAAACGTGTCTGAACAGCAGCCATTTTCGCGCACAAGAGTATGCGAAGGCTGTTGGTGCAATCGGAAAATTTTCGATTTTTACTGCACCGTAATCCAGGGTTTATCATCAGCCTACCATTAACAGATATCTGTTAACTTGCAGAGAATACTGTTCTTTATTTCATTTAAATCCATTTTCATTTTAAAAGTTAATCTTAGTACATGGATCGCTTAAATTAAATCCAGCTGTTGTCGTGACATTTACAAATTTGCGCTGTTAAACTCATAATTTTTTGACCTTTTGATAACACTACATAGAGTTGATATCTAGAACCAATATGAACTAATCATCTCAAATAGGGTAAATCATTAGCATAGGTAAATATAAACTAGCAGTGATGACTTAGCATGTATAGGCATTAGACTAATATATGAAATTTGATACATCACATGAAGTAGAAACTCTGTATCTAAATTCGAATTCTATATGAGGAAGTGAAACCTATTTATTTGAAGATGAAGTTCACTTCTACGAAGAAACATAGGGATTGCAAGTATGATCAATAATGTCGATATTTGAGATGCAGGCAAAATTTTATTCAGTATGAAGTCATTAACGACCAGCATGTTAGTTTTTTCGTCAAGTTTGTGATAAATTGTAAATGACTAGTGATCAAATAATTATAGAATGTACAATTTTACTTAGTCGCGAGTAATCTCCATTCAAGGAAATGTTATATAGGGACGGGACGCCGCCACCACTTTCACGCAAAACTTTTCCGATTCCAAACATCAAATCATACATATATTTACAGCTTGTTACACGCACAAATCTTGAACTTTCTAACCGTTGTCCTTTTCTGAGGTTATTCTGCAGCTTGATCATTTCTGTAAATAACTATTTTACTATACAAACTTTTCTACACCTGCGGTCAATTTACCTTTGCTGACTGCAACTGATATTTTGAAGCTCGGTTTAAAACACTATTTGGTTATGCTTTCGAGGCCTTAAGACCAAAATTAAATAGTAGCCTGCGAATAAACTACAGAAAGATTCCATAGCAAAGTTTCGATTTGAACTTTTAAGACAAAGCAACCTTTTTTAGAACTCTTGTCATATGGTTTACGTAATGCTGTTTCTTTTTTGGCAGTCTGAAATCAAAAAGATACCCATGTTGCATAAGAAAAACTCCCAAGTAAAAAGGCAACATTGTAAGCAATAATAGTTTAAATAAGTGCTTAAAAATGAACGGAAGTATCAATTTTAGTTTAATTGCAGAACTTGGAATTTTTAATCAGTAATTTGCAAACCTTGGAAGGAACAGATATGGTAGAACTCATTAAGTCCTTGGCAAGTTTTCGTCCAAAAACAGGAGCATTCAAAATACCTAAATTCAGAAAAATCTTCCACCACCAATTATATTTTTGCATTCCAGATTCTATAATTTGACAAAATTTTGGTACCATTATTTACATGTATCGACTTTAATGTATTTGAAGCTCTTTGTAAAATTATAGTTGGTACCTGAAAATAAAAACTCCTTTCAGAATCAAAGCACACGAGCATTTCAATGTTTCTTATATAAGAAAATCAAAGAATCTAACGTATGGTTTCTTATGTAGCTTAACAACTTTGAATTGTGTACGCAAAAGTTAATAATAAATATATTTCATAGTTACCACCTCGGAACTTTCAACAACTGCAACGCTTTCCAGATCGAGATCAGTCGATGATTCGCCCGATGTTTCGATTTTTGTCCCCAGCTGAAGACAATTATTATTAGTTGCTTCTTGAAAATGGTCTTACTGTGAATGGGAACTTGAGAAGACGAGATCAATAAAAACATTTGCAAATTTATTTATTTACAATATTTTTAAGCAGAATTTATTTACAATATTTTGCAGCCGAATGTAATCGAAACACGACCTATATTAGAAAAAAGCTAAATTCATGATTAAAATATCTTTTACCATGCTATTAAGAGGAGCTGTTACAGACGCAACTCGTTGTTGAAGTTGCTCAAGTCGTAGTTTATTTTGTTCTTTACACGTCAGCATTGGTGTTGAAGTAGAGGGCTCAGTTTCTGTTTCATCCTTGAAAATTTGTCAATTGGATTAAAAGTTTGTCAGTCATCTAATTTTCGGATATTCATTTAGCATTCCAAGCAATCATGATTTACAAAAATTAAAATTTCTCGACATTTTTCATACACTAATTTGTACTTACTGAAATATTGCTTTGCATCATAACACCTGAATTATGATGTCCATAGATTGTTGAAGCAGCAGCTAGTAATTCCTTGAGTGATTCATTGTTAAGCAACTAAAAATTTGTAGAAGTGATCAGAATATTAGAAACATGCAACAACCTTTCTACCCAGCAACCATTTTTTAAAAGTACTTTCAAAGTTTAGATCCAAAAGAATCAAATAAAAAGAATGTAACAAAAAAAATTCAATGAAAGAATGAAATGCGCAAATCCATCCTACTTGGATAAAAATATTGTAAAACTTGATAACTCACACCTTTTGACTATCGGGATCTCGTTTTTCTATCAGTGAAAGACTAAATTTTGTTTTGAATGTTTCTGGAGTCCCTGAAAACTGAATGACATTATCCAAGAACGATTTGAAAATGACAATTTTAAATACAATTTTTTATGAACCAAATTGATTAATACTAAATTCAGACCATTCAAATTTGAAAATCTTTCGTATTTCTCGTCTAATATCGCTTGAAGTTAACCATTAAATGGTTTTTATGAAAGGACGGAAAGGTTTAATTCTAACTTCAGCAGTACTGACAGATTGTTGGAAATATTACGCACCGATAATGAATATATTAGGAATGCAACAACTTCTGCTCAAATTGTAAACTAAACTAGCTCTTTGAGACCTCAAATTCAGGTATCAAATTCTCTCGATACGACAATGTAGAATTAGTATGGCGTATTAAATAATTTCAGTGATTGCTCGCTCATACTATCATCATTCATGAACATTAAATATGCTTCATTATAATTTTCTAAAAAGCAAATTTCTTGCTAGATACTACACTCATTACCAAAAAAACGTGATTTCCCGTCATTTACTTTCCTACTTTGATATGTGAAAGAATCATTATTTGATGTTTCGTCGGGAGAAATCGTTTTCAAGCTGTCGAAACCGCTTGATTGAATCAGCTCATTAGCCAAGTCGGCGTGACCCTTCATGGACCTACAAGTACTTGGCAAATGAAATTAAAACCATAAAAATTAATAAATTCAAGTTTTTAAAAGTTGAGAAAACTTTTGTGCACTTCAGCTTCTACACATTACTTTTTGAAACAATCATTCAAAAAATTGGTACATTTTTTACCATGGTTTCAAAACAGATTGTTCACTAATAGCATGCGGGGCGTCGACAAAATTTTCATTAGAATCAACCGATTTGTATTCGGTACGCGGAATCGATCCATCGGCTGCCATTACGAATGACTGCCTTTTCATGCCATTATCTTTTTCGATGTCTTTTGATAAACGGATCTGAAACACATAACCTCAAAAAAAATCCCTGAAAAAGTAGTTAAAATCACGAACTAAATTTTGTTTAAATAGAAGTGAAATAGTGGAATAGGACAGATAGATAAATGGATAGATAGACTGATTGTTCTCACCCACCATTTGTTGCTTCTACTCAGTTGAGTGATCAGCCGGCAAGTATATAAGATATTTAAAATAAGTGAATCCAGAAAGGAGTTTCGTTATTTAAAAACTGTTCCTGTAAATTAATTGACCAAAAAATATGCATACTTGATTTGCATTAAGTGTTAGAAATAGATTTCCGGCTTTGGTCCTTTTAGTAAATTTGAATATTCACTACACGTATTTCAGCGTATGCAAGCATATAGCATCCAATCCTTTATTTACAGTTAAACGGTAACTTGAATTCACGTTCGAACAGAACAGCACTGATTAGATTGTGACTGAGATAAATTCTTTTGAACATCGTGTTTTATGTCAATGAATTAATTACTTAACAGCAGTTCACAGATCATCAAATGATCTTGATAGGTTTTTATAATCGTACTGCTCTCCACTCCCTAATAATAATGTGTATTATCAACTACTACTTCACAATATTGTAAACCACAATTTATATCGCTGAACTTAAATGCAGTTACATAAAGCGTTCAGAATTTGACAGTATCCTAAAAACGTGATCAGCAAGCTCAACTACTACTTCACAATATTGTGAATGCAGCGCAGAGAAGGTATCACAAAGCGAAATAAAGAAAGAACGTTTCTCGTCTTCCATTTCTCTTTGGAAACGATCAAAATTAACAGCAACAACTGCTAGACAAAAGTCATCAGAGCATCAAAGCAACGGATCACATTATCAATAGAATGTACTGAAAATGCGTGTCTAAAACAACAAGTAACATGCATTCAATACATTTCACAAACAACTACCAAAATTTTGCCAAATGGAAAATGCTGCAATGCACAGAATCATTACCGAAAGAGCTCTGTATGAAGGGATCAATGCACGGCAATACACAGATAGTGCACATGAAAGGCTTCATTTGAAAGAAACAAATAAGCAGGAAAGGTCATGAAAGAAAGTATCCATTGAACAAGCGACCCATTATTAGGTTAGCAAAGAAACAGAACCAATGCGATATTACAGCGAAGGAGCGCCAGTTTAAGCATGAATAGCAGTAATCATTAATCTCTGATTACTTCTATTCCTGAAGACTTCGAGTGAGACGGAAGAAAGAAATGTCATGGGAAGGTTTTGTTTGTGAAAGAAATTTGCACACTTTGTGGTTAATATGCGGTACAAGTAAGTGAATAAAAGATTCATTTGTTTGCTTAAAAGCATCTAAAGTGTGCGAAAAAAAAGTCATAATGCTCGCAATGTGATGCAAAAATTAAACAGTATGGCCTACCGTATGAGTTAGGAAGTCAGAACATATAATTAGCTTAGTATAAACATGTTCAGACTAATAACAGTCATGGTTCTAGCTTTAATAACAAGAAATAATGATGGGGTAATGCATGTTTATATTTCGATTTCAGTGAAGAAACATCTCATGTCCACAAGAAATTACTATTTAGATACTTTCTGCATTTAAGAATATGAAACTGAAGCGGTTTTGCTATACGAATTTTGTAGCACTACATGATTACATTGAATCCGCCGACCTGAATAGCAGTTTCTACATCTGCAGCTATAATTTCTTCCTGACTAACAGATTTAATTAAACACTCAAAAACTGCCTCAGCCATCTTTCCAGTCTTACGATGAATGATTGCTAGCACACTGAGGCATCAAATATGGTGTGGAAGTTGACGAGAGTTTTTACTCACCAAATCGTTGAAATTCCGTCAAGTTACAGAATCCCTCAATATACCCTTTCTCGTCACTGAATATTCGAAATTCTATAACTAATAAGTAATTCACGGCTGGTCTGGTGCAGTATTCAGTAAGTGTTACTCAAGTGATAACATCGTGCATTGCTGGTTTATTGCTGGACAGTTTAATTTGCTTCTGCGTAGTTGGTGGTCTCTGCGTTTGGCAGAGATCAAGTGCTACCATTGAGAATGCATCTTTTCAATGGAAATTTTGCAACATGCATCTGTGAAAGAATACATGTGCTTTTGAGTGGTAACGAATTGTGCCCGCAACTTACCTGTTATTGATAACACTCAGTGTGTGTTATTATTTTCCATAGTTGTCAGCTCCTACGCACGCATCCACCATAGCGTGACGTTTCAGTTCCTCAACGCTTTATCATACTCGCTATGTAATAATATGCAACATTATAAATTATGCAAAAATTAACACGTGAAACTCCATTTTTGTTAATATTTCATTTCAGTATGTAATGTGTGTGTGTATGTGTATTATAGCCCACACGTTTTGTTTTCCAGTCTACAATGATTGCTAGTTTTTAGATGTCACATTTCTCTATTCAGGCTTCTAAAATGACAGGTCTAAACAAGCTTTAAATTGTTGCCAAAAAGTATGTGGATTCAACACCGATTATTTATTTCTGCTCTGTACCATTAGCTCAGTCCAGCTGCCTCACAAATGTTTAAAATTAGAGTAATATTGTCAGTAATCATCTTTTCAACCACTGTACGCGCAATGCACGATCATCGTCAACAAGATATCATTCGAGAAAATTATTTAACATTTGCTGCTCATTACACAGCTGATCAGTTGTACAAAGCACATCGTGCGCAAGTCAATGAATTGCTTGGTACCCGTCTTATTCAAGTACGTTTCTATTTTGTGTAAAAAATTCAAAATTTTTCTTTTGTCTTGTGGTACTGAATTTGAACGAGAAAAACTTACAAGTAAGCAAAGCATATTTATTTTCAAATGTATTCCATCTGTCAGTCGTCATAGCAGTAAAATATTATGTGTAGAGAATCCGTTCCACTCGAAATGAAATAGTTTCAATACTGAATGAATGGTGGTTTTGTCATTTATTTAAGAGACTATTTTCAGTCACTCATTGATAATTTGGATTTCAAAAAGATGTCTCTGAATTCCTCAATACGTGATATAACCAGTCATCTTGATTCACAGTTTGCGAAATATCGTTACTTACTACTTGAAACAAAGCGATATATTTCTAGTAACTCTCAGTCAGGTTCGGTTACTTTTCGAGACTATGGATATATGATGGAATGCTCTCGTATGATCCCAGATCATCTAAGGTATTTAAAATTATCTTTAAAAGCTTCATTAATCAAAACTAAATCTCATGAGCTGTTTCATTTCCAAATGCTTCCTTACTTACTGAAAAAAATTATTTAGTACTGACTTTCGTAATTTATTTTTCATTTTATCAAACATTATACCAAGATACCTCTTTCTGTCTTTTATCAGCTTTAAGTGATTTGTTTCACATCAGTTATCAATCTGTTATTTTATTTTCCAGTTATGAAGAGCAGTTTGGTACTCAAGTAAATATGACAAGTGCTTGCTTGATAACTACCAGACAACCAATAAAATCATTGTACTATGCTGAGAAAAATCTCACATCTGGTATTTTTATGTTTGCAGTTTTTTTAGATTTATTTATTTCATTGCAATATGGCCAGTGCAATATAAATCAATATAGGTTTTTCTGTAAGTAACTGTTCTTAAGTAGTTATCAGCACACAAAATTGGGCTTCCGATCGTAAAATTCGTAAGTTATAACTATGACAAGTGTATCAGATCTTAAATGTTTTATACAAAATTCAGTTTTACGTACGAACGCACTTGATAGTGCCATCCGATGGCAGTACGTAATTGGCAACAGTGGTCCTCATGTCGAATATCCAGCACATGCTTTTCCGGTACATAAACATAGGCATTGGGGTCCATTTCTTGCTTCAGCATTGTCCAGCAAACGGCGTGTCGTGATTCTTATCGATGCCGGTATAATTATGTTCAAGATTTATCAGTTGTCATCTCGCTTCAAAATTGATGTTGTGTTTAGTTTACTATGGAAAAAATTAATCCCTTTTTATTTATTCAATAGTGATTTCTTCTTACAAAGAAGTTAAAAATACATGCTTGTCGGGATCTGATGATATCAGACAAAGTATCCCAATTACTTGGTTTGTGGAAGTACATTTTATTATATATATATATGACCAGAACTTTATCAAGTAAATGAGCATGTCTCTGGTTTATAAACTATTATATTAGTGTGCTCGAACAAGAACCAGAAGACTTAAGCAATAAACCATAGTATCAGGCAATTAAAAATTAGATACGGAATTCACTGTCAACCTGCATGTTTAAAGAAACTGTATCTGCCAAGGAACGTGGCAGGTACAGTCTAGGATTTGGACTTCGTAATGTTGAGCGGAGAAATGAACTTTTGCTTCTCCAGCTACATAATGTTCTTGTAGGTACCGTCCATATCTACTGCGATTTTGAAGCAAGAGTAGGCTCACAACACGTACTTATCAGTTATTGTACCCTACTTTCAGACTAAATACAACCTCATAGAAAATCCAGCTATTTAAAACGTATTAAGAGCCCACAAAATCTTTATGTGCCAACATCGTAGGCAACGTATGAAGACGGTGGACCATCTAGCAACGCAGTGTGGGAAAATGTTGTATCATGACTATACTAGAAGATACATTGAAGTCATGCGATGTATTCATTTAAGACTGCAACAAGTATGGTCTAAAAGCACTTCCACGCTTGCGGAGCCACTCCGTTCAAGAAATCGTCGCTAACAAGAACGTTGAAATCACACTCGATACGCGAATAAGAATTGCAATTAGAATAAAAGCGGATCGACCGGATATCATGATACGAGATAAGAAGCGAGTGAAGTAATCCTGATTGAGGTTAGCATCAGCAGTCAGGACAAGTTAACAGCAGTCGAGACCGAGAAGAAGCGAAAGTATGACTTACTAACTAATAAACTCGTGGCAGAGATGAATTGCAGGACTAAAATAATTCCGTATGCGATGACTTGGAATGAGGTAATGACGAACTTACACAATTGTTACGCTAAGGAAATCAGTATATCTGATCGCGTTGAGACGTGTATCCAGTTGATAGTTTTCAAAAAAACGCTCGAAAGCATTTCATTTGCTCAGCGCCGTGGATTCGACGAGGACGAAGCAGCGGAGATCAGCACAGCAAAACTGAGGGTGGGGCGAGTGCATATATATGACCAGAACTTTATCAAGGCAGTAAATGGGCATGTCTCTGGTTTATAAACTATTATATTAGTATATAT